GGGAAGGGTGAAGGGGGAAGGGGAGACACGAGGTGACGTTGTTGCCATTAGAGCAGCTTCGGGACACTCGACGCACTTCATGTGAATGTTCGTCAGCCTGCAATGAAATGCCACTCCATGAGTGATGCGTTGAGTGTGCGTTGTGCTTGATCACCCTCACTCAGTCCTATTGACTTGATGAGCTACAACATTGTGCGTCTGAGTGGTGTCGCGTGGAGGGAGTTGTGGAATGCTGGCCACCTTCATTGGCGTGCACGTATGCTGTGCCTTGCAGCGTGTCATGTTTGCTGTAAAAAGAGGCGAAAGAGAAGGGAGTTGGGACTCTTTGCCAAGGCGACGTGAGAAGTGGTTGGTGCTTTCCCCAAACTGCAGCCCATTTTTACAGCTTCACCTATCGTCCGTTGCCGCGTCTCTCCTGTGCATCGACAACTAAGACGGTGTCACTCGTCATTCCCAACTCATCGACTGCCTTGCGATGGATGCGATGAGAAGACGCACAAACTGGCAAGCAGTGCGCCTAACTCTAAGCCAATTCGTACACTTACTACATACCTTCCCTTCGAACCTCATTCCTCTGTATTCCCCTTGTCACTCGAGTGGAAACAGTAGTCGGGTAAACTAAAATCACTTTTCGATGAAGTGCAATTGTTGTGCTCACAACTGCGCGTTGGTGAGGTAAGGGTGAGGAGGTAGAGAAAAGCGAACAAATGTGGCCTCGACGCAGAAAGACAGAGCTGTCCTCCCTTCCTCACCGTAGCAGTGGCGTGACAGTGAAGTCGTCTTCACGCACACGCCAACAGATCCTCAATGTGGCTGTCGGCAGTGATAGGGCAACTGTGTGGTTCAGCACTCGTTCAACTGTCTCGTCTCCCAACTTTGCATCCCCAACCCGGTGGCAGTGCAGAGGTCGTCATTTCTTCATCCTCCTTCATATTGGTGCAATTCTGTCATGCTCACTCTGAGTGCACATTGATGCGACGAGGAATGCAATGTGCTTGATTCGTCCCACAGAGGTGGTAGGTCAGCCTGTCGTCGGTGAACTGCGCAGATACCGCTTCCACCCAATCGCTTGTTAGGCCAATCGAGTCACCGTAGCAGCAATGAATGGATGCATGTTAGTAGGGAAGGACTGAAACTGCATCGAGGTCGACGTCTATGGTGCCTACTCTGCACTGGCACCACTTGGTGTCGATGAGACTGCAGGTGGGCCAGACGCTTGCTCCACCTCTCCTCAACGTCCCTCACCCCTGGGTAAGGGAGGCAGCGCAGAAGCCATCAATGCCGCTTGCAAGCGAACCTGAAGCGAGTGCGTTCAGTCTTTGCTCGCCTTGAAGGAGCAGGACAATGAGGGAAGGAAGGTCATCATGCCTGCCACGTGCGAAGCACTGCTGCTTAGTTTCCAATTCCTCCCCACTACCGATGCCGACGGCGACAAACCCGGTTGTAAGTCCCCTCCACTCCTTACCACCGTGCAAATCCATGCGTCTACTTTCCGCTTCACATCCACCCTTCGCTTCCCTGTGCGTCTACCACCATCACAGCGTCGAGGATGCGCAACGTCGCCTCGCAGCTGAGTAAGCATGGCAAAGAGGCAAGTACGGAGAAGGACCAAGTGACAGACTCAAGTCGTCTAGGCAAAGCAAGTCCTCCCACCCCACCATCCACCAGTCTTAACAGACAGTGTTACTACCTTGTCCAGCAAACCCCAACAACGATAGCAGGCCTCGTGCATACGCATTCCACAATTTGAATGCATTCCTGACTGCATATCAGCCTGGCTGTCGTGAGTCCTCTTCCCTTTCCAAATTGACTGCGACGCGGCACCACGTTAGCCAGTGCCGCAAACTCTTCCTTGCATCGCAACAAATGTGAAGTCATGCCACACTTGAAGGCCGCCTAAGCCAAACAGGCTTCCATTCCAACCATGCAGGCCTCGTCCCACCTCACCTCTTCATGAACAACTCAAGCGTGGGAAGACTGGGAATTGCAAACTCCATCCTAACCCTCACCATGTTGTTGTTGATGAAGACTTGAGTCTCCACGTGCAAAGAGGTGGTGATGTGGTGCCAACTCCTCGACATGCGACGATAGCGTGCATTTGTGTGTCTCAGCTCGACAGGTTGGCTTGCATGGTTGAGCAACTGCACGCAGGGGCAGAGTGCTTTTACATCCCTCCACCAATGGGTGGAGCACTGAAGTAATGCCTTTTGTGCCAA